CAAAAACATTTAATAAAAAAAAAAAAAAAAAAAAAAAAAAAAATCATTTGCTTTTGAAATAGCATTTCAAATTTATGAATTATTTTTCCTTTGTAAGATTTAGAAAAGGTTTAATGGTTAGAAAGTTTTAAATTTCCCAAAGATTGAAGAGTACTGCTGGGCTTTTTATTTTTTTTAGGTGGTACCAAAAATGAATATATCTGTGTCATGTATTTAGATTATAAGTATATTTTATTTATGTAAAAAAAATCCAAATAAAAAGTCTGATATAAAAATTCAAGAAGTTGGGGCCAGCAGGTGATATATGGTGACTAAGGTGCTGGACTCACACATGGCCAACCATGGTTCAAGTCCCAGACCTGGCAGCTTGTTTTCTCACTTTCTCTCTATCTCTCTCTCTCTTTGGTGAATTCATGTGCCCTATAGCAAATTAAATAAATAAATTAATTAATTAATTTTAAAAAATTCAAGAAGTCAGTTGTAACAGAACTTTTCACTAATTAAATTTTTTATCTGCCAGTAATTAGACCTCTTTATAATAAATATGCAATATGTGGTTTAATTGCATGGATCATCGTAGATCTTTTTTTCCAAGAAAAGCATGAGGCTACATATATTTATTTATTTATTTTGAGATGTTTTCGCTATAGGGCATGTGCACTTGTCAGAAAGACAGAGAGAGACAGAAAGATAGAAAGTGAGAAATCACTCCCTGGGGGGATGGCCACGCCACAATCCCTTCTCCTCCATTCTCCTCTTGGGATCTTGGGCACGCACGCACACGCGCCCGGTGTGAGTTTAAGCCACCGGGTCCGGGACTAGAACCATGGTCGACTACATGGGAGTCCAGCAACATAGCCATTATGCCAACTGCTGGCCCCGAGGCTCCATTTTTTAAATGATGGTATATCTATCAATATATTAGGCTGGGACCAGCAGTTAGCATAATGGCTATGTCACTGGATTCCCACGTAGTCGACAGCGGCTTATACATATTTGACAGGATCTAAAGAAAAGATTTTTGTAAAACTTAGGGAATTACTCAAAATTATTAAGGAATTTTAGTCTTTCATGCTATTTGCTCTATTTTAAGCTTCTGCCTTTAAGCATGGTGCATAAAGAGCAAAGCAAATATTAATGAATCAGACTAGCTAGAGTCCAGAGAATGTAAGATAGATATAAAAGTAAACATTACTGTTATTTCTTTATCTCTTTAGGTTGTTTCTGACAGAAAATTGGCAACAAAGGAATTATTCTCCTTGTTTTTGCTGAGAGTAATTGATTCACCTGGAACCAAATTGTTCCAGAGCCGAGTCTGATAGAATTTCTGCTACAAAGCATTGGTGTTCCCTCTGGTACTGATGTATAAAGTAAGAGCTTGGTAATGAAAATATGAGCGAGATTAAATTCTGCTTCATTGCAGCCAGGGTGATGGCTGACTCAGCTCCAGCTCAGTACAATGACATTAGCGACTGATGAGTAATTTACAGCTGTGAGGGGGTGGACTGCTACTCTGGACAATTTTCACTCTTTTGCACCCCTTATTTTATTTTTCCATCTCAAGGAGCAATTATTTATAATAGTGATGTCCTACACCACTCTGCAGAAGATTATGTGTCAAAATTGAAGTGTTGTCCTACATGTCTACTTTGTAAGAAATTCTGAACCCCATAAGATAACAAAAGTTAAAGGAAGGGTTTTTCTTTTAGTAGATGTCGTCAGTCATTCTGATTTTGTATTTTTCCAAGAGATTTCTCACTAATTTCTCTACGCTATTGCTGTGATTCAGACTGATTTACTATAATTCTAAACTCCTTGCAAATCCTTCATTTATTTAGCCCAAATCACTCAGTGTCAACTGCATTGAGGAAAAAACACAGGGCTTGTTTTGTTTATCCATACATTAGTCTGGGAAACCAGCATACTGAATGAGGCCTGCTGTCACTGGCTTAACGGCACAAAAGTCCCCAGTGAAGTACCTTTTGTTCCTCTTTTGGTTGTTTCTAAAAAAAGACTTTAGAAAAAATCCTTAACTTAAAGTTCTTTTTATGTTTATGTCATCCCTAACAGAATATTTGCTAAGTGACCTTATATGTATCTGACTTGGAACAAATTTGGCTTTATCAATGTAACTCCTATTCACACAACCTACAGATAATTCCAAATATCATAATATAAAAATTAAAGACAAGAAGGAAAAGTGATCTCTAATACAAAGGAAATTAAAAAAATTGTGCAAATAGGGGCCAGCAGGTAGTGTGGTGGTTATGGTGCTGGACTCTCACATGCCAACCACAGTTCGAGTCCTGAACCTTGTGACTTACTTTCTCATCTCTGGTGAGCACATGTGCCCTATAGCAAATTAAAAATAATAAAATAAAATATTTTTTAAAAATTATGACATTTATGTAAATAACTTTGAAAACCTGCATATTTTCTAGAAAAACATAATTTAACAGAAGTTTACCTAAGAAAAGGTTGATGAAATTGTCAAGGAGCTATCTCCCCAGAAAGACATGGAGTAGGTGATTCTTTTTTTTAATCCTTTTAACTTTTTTTTATATATTTATTTTAATTTGATCAGAGAGAGAGAGAGAGCGAGAGAGAGAGAGAGAAAGTGAAAAGGCAAGCTCTCAAGTCTGGGACTCATACCACAGTCGCACGTGGGAGTCCAGCCCCTGGAGTAGGTGATTCTATGGGTAAATGTTTTTACATAATCAAAAGTAGATAATTGCAATGCTTTTTTAAAAAGAATTATTTTATTGAACTTCAATTAATTAATTAATTTTAATTTGACCAGAGAGGGACAGTGTGAGAGAGAAAGAGAAAGTGAGAAAGGTGTCCAGGACTCGAACCACGGTCAGCCATAACCATTAACCACCATGCCACCTGCCGGACCCTGCAATGCTTTTTATAATGAAAGCTCCAATTGCATAGCAAAAGAAGGAAAATTGAGGGCTGACTTATTAGCCTCGTGATTAAGGGAGCAGATCCCACATGATCAACCGTGACTCAAGTCCTAGCCTCAGCAGCTTGAAACACATGCTCAGTGCTGGTGCATGTGTGCCCCAAATCCTTACAGTATGAAGAAATGGAGGA